AGATGAAGTTGGAGATCAAGCGCGGTTCTAACAATACGAAGAACGACGTTGTCTCGCTTCCCACTGTTTCAACCAACAAAGGGAGTATCTCCCAAGCTGATGTATGGCATGCACGCTTGGGGCACTTGGGAATGCAAGCATTGAAAGAGTTGGTGAATCACAAGAGCGTGGAAGGATTGAGTTTGAGTGAAATTGCAGTCAAGTCCCTTTCTTCCGTTCCATGTCCATCTTGTGTTGAGGGTAAGCTAGCTAGAAAGCCATTTTTCCCTTCTAAGTCTCAGTCAAGAGACCTCCTAGAGTTGGTCCACACTGATGTATTTGGCCCCATGCGAGACCCTACTCGAAACGGTAAGAGATATTTGGTGTCTTTCATTGATGACAAGAGTCGTTTCTCGTGGTCATTTTTCATCAACACCAAGGATGAAGTTCACAAGTGTTTCAAGCAATGGCTAGCACTTGTTGAGAGAGAGTCAGGGAAGAAGTTACTCACCTTGAGGTCGGACCGAGGAGGTGAGTACATGGGAAAAGCATTTCAGGGGGAGTTGTTGGCATTGGGCATCAAACAACAGTTCACTTGTCCCTATAGTCCTCAGCAAAATGGAGTTGCAGAGAGGTTTCATTGCACTATTCAAGCAATAGCTACCACTTTTCTTCAGTTTAAGGGCCTTGACAAGCTCTGGTGGGGTGAGGCAATCACTATGGCAATCTATGTTCGCAACAGGAGACCCACAAGGCCCCTACCGGATGGTGTAACGCCATATGAGGCTTGGTTTGGAGTTAAACCAGATCTGTCTATGCTTCGTGTTTTTGGTTCCATGACCCAATACCGTGTTCCAGATGCAAAGAGAGTCAAGCTGGACAGCAGAGCTCATTGGGGCCTCTTCATCGGCATGAGCAACGAGAGCAAGGGATGGGTCCTTTGGGATCCCGTCACCAAGCGAGAAGTGGTTTCAAGGGATGTGGTCTTCTATGAAGACATGTCCCTTGCAGATTGGCACAAGTTTTCCTCTTCCTCCTCTCTACCACCCTCTCTCCAACAGGAACCAGCAAGAGCACCTGAGGAAACAACACAAGAGGAGGACGGAGATGACACCAATTCTGACCATAGCGGACCCATCATCGATCTCCCGCAAGCCGTCGTCAACGAGACCAGCTGCGCCACACCAGTGCCACCAGCAGCTACTCAACCAAGTGGAGATGTGGTTCAGCCGTCAAATGAAGACAATCCACCCCAAGAAGTCACCGTTACATCACCGCCAAAGGAGCAGCAGCCAACCGTCACCAACCAGCCAGCTACTTCAACACCAACCCCGCAAGTTCAACGTCACCCGGATCAGCCCACCACTACACCATCAAACCCATCACCAGCCGTCAATTCAGAGGCAACTACAGAAGCTCACCATCATCCAATGCAGCAGCAACCTACAGCTACAAGACTCCAAGTACCTACATCAGCACCATCTACAATTCTTCCTACCAACAAGACAACCATTACCGCAACATCTTGTTCTCACACACGTTCATCACTTCAGGTTCCAACGTCAAGCCAGCTCATAGCACGAGGATCACTTCAGCGAATCACCACCAACACCAGCTCCAACAGCCCACTTCTTCACCCAAGACCTTTCTCAACTTCACCCCCACGTCCCGGAATCGGCCGTCATCAGTTACCGCCATCTTCAACACCGAGAAACAGCGCCAATCAGACCGAACCGTCTCCAACTTTCGACAACGCAGCGTCATCATCAATTCCCAAGCTTCTAGTCTCAAGATCCCCACCAAGAGAATCTTCACAGCCAACTATGCCGACGAACATTTCAGCTTCACCGACACAAGTCACCACACCTATTCCTCAAGTCAACACCGATAATCGAGAGAGTTCCACGCCGGGAGAAGATCATGCAGTCGTGCCGCCGTCGCAGCCGATGTCGCAGCCATTGTCTCAGCCGCAGATGACCGTGTCAACGCATCCAACCACTGTGAGACCGAACCCTACCATTGATTTGTCTACCCGTCACCCAGGGCTCACTGGTGATTCTCTACTTTTGGAATAACAAAAGTAGACGAAATCCAGTCCATGTGAGATCTGTTGGAGAATCGAGTCTCTGCCGCCCCAGTCCAACCACTGTGAGACCGAACCCTACCATTGGTTTGATCTCCCCGTCACACAGGGCTCACTGGTGATTCTCTACTTTTGGAATAACAAAAGTAGACGAAATCCAGTCCATGTGAGATCTACGCCACTACGCTCAACAGGCAGCATAAATCGTAGCAAAGCACATCGCGACAAGAGCCAGCGCAAATCACTCCCGTTTCCGACACAAACTTAGACGCGTGGGGCAGTTTAGTGTAATTACACGTCCGAGCCAACGTCAGTTCCGCCCTCTAACACGGCGAGCCCGCCGGACCCCTTCTCACAGCCTCGCCTCGTCATCCGTCGCGTTGCCTCACCACGCGGCCTCCTCACGCCACCGTGAACGCGCACGCTGCGTCTCAAACTGCCGAACACGCACGATCACAGTCGCTTCCCGATCGCGCGACCTCGCTACCACGTTTCCGCAGTAGCGGCGGCAGCCGCAATTGAGGTGTCGCGAGGGTAATCAGAAACGACTGCTCCCCATTACCTCTTCCCGCCTTCCCGTTTCCCCTTCCCGCCTCCCCAATTCCCCTTCCCGACACCCCATTTCCTCTTCCCGCTCCCCATTACCCCTTCGCGCCTCCTCGTTTCCCCTTCCCGCTCCCCATTACCCCTTCCTGCCTCTGCAATTGCCCTTCCCGCCACCCCATTTCCTCTTCTCGCTCCCCATTATCCCTTCCCGCCTCTCCGTTTCCCCTTCCCGCTCCCTATTACCCCTTCCCGCCTCCCCAATTCCCCTTCCCGCTCCCCATTACCCCTTCCCGCCTCCCCAATTCCCCTTCCCGCTCCCCATTACCCCTTCCCTCCTCCCCGTGACCCCTTCCCGCTTCCCCATTACCCCTTCCCGCCTCCCCGTTTCCCCTTCCCACTCCCCATTTCCCCTTCCCGCCTCCCTAATTCCCCTTCCCGCCTCCCCGCTTCCCCTTCCCACTCCCGATTATCCCTTCCCGCCTCCCTTCTCAAACTGCCGAACACACATCACAGTCGCCGCACGATCGCACAGCCTCGCTACCACGTTTCCGCACTAGCCGCGGCAGCCGCACTCTCATTTCCCCCCTTGCAGACTCTCATTTTCCCCCTTGCTCACTCTCATTTTCCCCCCATGCTCTCCCTCATTCCTCCCCCCTTCTCCCTCTCATTCCCCCCATGAAGCCCCTCATCCCCCCCTTTCTCCCTCTCATCTCACCCCCTGCTCCCTGTCATGTCCCCACCTTCTCTCTCTCATGTCACCCCCTTCTCCCGCTCATTTCCCCCCATTCTCCCTCTCATTTCTTCCCCTTCCCCCTCTTATATCTCCCCCTACTCCCTCTCATTCCCCCCATGAAGCCCCTCATTCCCCCCCTTTCTCCCTCTCATCCCCCCCCCTGCTCACTGTTATATCCCCCCTTCTCTCGCTCATGTACCCCCCTTCTTCCTCTCATTTCCCCCCCTTATCCCTCTCATTCTCTCCCCCCTGCTCCCTCTCATTCCCCCCTTAACCACTCAGTTAAATGCCACATAACCTCCCTCTCATTTCCCCTCATCCCCCCCCCCTTCCCCCTCTCGTTTCCCCCCATCTCCCTCTCCTTTCCCCACGTGTTCCTTCTCATTCCCCCCCCCTTCTCCATCTCGTTTCCCCCCCGCTCATTTCCCCCCATCTCCTTTCATTTTCCCCCCTTCTCCCTCTCATACGCTTCTAACCCCTACCGTACCCTTGGATGGTCGCATGCCATACTCATCCATCCGCTGCCATACACCGCCACACCCTTCCATCTCCTCCCATACCCTTCCATACCCTTCCATACCCTTCCATTCCCTGCCATTCCCTTCCATTCCCTTCCATACCCTTCCATTCCCTTCCATACCCTTCCATTCCCTTCCATTCCCTGCCATTCCCTTCCATTCCCTGCATTCGTGCACAGGCATGTGACTAGTCACGTGATTGGTATCGAAGAATCCAGGGTTGGGTGATAAAGGTTATGTATTTAGTGATACAATTGTAAGGACTTTTTTAATAAAACATGTTGTGAGGCTACGAGCTTGATTTTGGTCCTGAAGTGCCAAAAATGTACTAAAGTTGGGAGTGTATGCATGCTTCTTGAATCACAAGTGCATAGTAATAAATACGCAGGGAGCTGCCGCACAAGTTGGCAGCTGCTGTTGTATGCCTGGCGTTGGTGTGCAGCAGAGGGGAGCGGTGCATTGTGTGCTGCTTGGTGGACCTGCCGGTGAGAGGAGTGGGGGGGGTCAGGGCTGAGAAAGGGACGAGGAAGGGGAAAAAGAAGGCACATATTAGGGTGAGCTAAAGCAAAGCCTGGAGAGAGTGCCCTTAGTCATCCAAGTGGCGTGAAAACGGTTGTCTAGGCAAGTCCCAAGGCATGCGATTGGACGCGCACAGTACCTGAGAGGCGTGAACGATGGGACAAAACTTGAGATGAGTCGAGCTCGCTTGCACGCATCATCTGCCGCAACAGCCTTGCTACCTCCTCCTCCTCCCTCTCCCTCCGCCTCGCTTCCTCATCGAGCCTCACACCCTGCTTGCTCCCCAGTCCACTGCTGACATGGCTGCTTCGATAGTCTGCACCCATCTTCAGAGACCCGACATGCTGCATCTCCTGCGGCTTGCGCAATCATGAGAGCGTTAGGCTGTGAGACCGAAACAGGGTTCACTCGCTCTTGGTTCTGCTGTTGCTGCCGATGCACCTGCCGCTGTTCTTGCAAGATCATCCCAGCTCCAACTCCTCGTGGGAGCTGCTGCTACATTTGCTCCACAAATGCTAGGACCAGTAGGACCTCAATCTGCAGGAGCAGAAGGATGGTCAGAACCGGGGCAGTTGCAGAGTCACACGGGTTGGGGCCAACAGCCGGCGTCGGCAGTCCATAGTCAAAGGAGTGGGGCGAACAATCCTCCCCACTGGCTGCTCCTCGCCTCATGTCTCCTCCTCCTCCACCATGCATTCCCCTCCTTTCCTGAGCTACCTCCTGCTCCGGGGGGAACACCGAAGGAAGGAACACTGGGTGTGGCAGCAGGGGCAGCTCCGGCAAAGGCAGCAGCAGCGGCAGTATGGGCAGGGACTGAAGGAGCGAGTGGGATCTCATGGGAGGTGAGATGACCCTGGAAGGAGGGGGGATGAGAAATTAAGGCATGGCGATGGGAGAGCGTGGAAGGGAGAATGGAAGGGAGCGAGTGGGGGGCAGTATTTTGCAAGGGATCCACCCTGTAAGGGAGGGAAGATGAAAAGGACGGGAGGGCAGTGGGGCTATGCCAGAGCTGGGAGGGAAATGAAGGGGAGCAAGGTGGGGGAAATAAGGGGAGAAGGGGGGGAAATGACGGGGAGCAAGGTGGGGAAAATAAGGGTTTAGGTTGGGAAATGAAGGGGTGAAGGAGGGAAATGAGAGGGAAGCGGGGAAGCGAGAGTGAGCAAGGGTGGAAGTGAGAGGCTGCAAGGAGGGAAATGAGAGGGAGGAGGGGGAGAGATGAGAGGCGGCAAGGGGGGAAATGAGAGGGAGGAGGGGGAGAGATGAGAGGAGCAAGGGGGGAAATGAGAGGGAGGAGGGGGAGAGATGAGAGGAGCAAGGGGGGAAATGAGAGGGAGGAGGGGGAGAGATGAGAGGAGCAAGGGGGGAAATGAGAGGGAGGAGGGGGAGAGATGAGAGGAGCAAGGGGGGAAATGAGAGGGAGGAGGGGGAGAGATGAGAGGAGCAAGGGGGGAAATGAGAGGGAGGAGGGGGAGAGATGAGAGGAGCAAGGGGGGAAATGAGAGGGAGGAGGGGGAGAGATGAGAGGAGCAAGGGGGGAAATGAGAGGGAGGAGGGGGAGAGATGAGAGGAGCAAGGGGGGAAATGAGAGGGAGGAGGGGGAGAGATGAGATGAGCAAGGGGGGAAATGAGAGGGAGGAGGGGGAGAGATGACAGGAGCAAGGGGGGAAATGAGAGGGAGGAGGGGGAGAGATGAGAGGAGCAAGGGGGGAAATGAGAGGGAGGAAGGGGGGAGATGAGAGGAGTAAGGGGGGAAATGAGAGGGAGGAGGAGGGGAAATGAAGGGGAGCAGTGGGGGAAGTGAGAAGGAGCAGGAGGGGAAATGACGGGGAGCAGTGGGGGAAGTGAGAAGGAGCAGGAGGGGAAATGAAGGGGAGCAGTTGGGGAAGTGAGAAGGAGCAGGAGGGGTCTTAGCATCGTAAGCTCCTTAGTCGGCAATAGTCTACTTGCTATTGCTTATCGTGTTCTCCACGATCTCCCGAATCCAATGATATGCGCAGCTCTGCTTGAAGTTGTCAATACACACTTCAGCAATTTTCAGAATCTCAATGTTGTCCAATGTTGTATTTCCAGAATGAGTACAAACAGTTTTATAGTCAGGCAAGACACAAAGTGCGATTCGTAACTTCACTTGTTTCCCAAGTAACCGCGTGCGCTTCATTTCACCCCGAGTCACACACGCAACCGAACCAAGTTCGGTGAACACTCCTCAAGACCGAATCTGGAACCTTCTCGAACACCCCTCGAGCTCGAACCACAATTTCCCTTCGCCAACTTCAATCTCGATGCGTCTTCCACCTTCTCACACATTCCTTCTTGATTTCTCACTCCCTTCTCACGCCGTAGGCCGATTTCCACCGTTTCACCAAGAATCATCCACGCGCTTCCATTTCGCCGTCATTCCGCCGTCGTAGAGACTTTCGCCATAGGTTCCGTGGTTGGGCGAACCAACCCTAACAATCTCCCCAGTGGTTCATCAACCACGAACTCCACTTGCACTCCTCCCCTGCTCCTTGTAGCCTTCACAGGGTCTAAGTCGGCTTCACGCTCCCCTGCAACTCCTGCACCTTGAACCTCTGCTTACGTGTCTTGAAGTTGAGCGCCTTGACATCCAAACCTTGAGAGATTTTCTTATGCCTCTCGCTTCTCCTCGGCATCTTTACACCCAACACCTCTCGGGTCTCGTACCCTTCAACGTGTTCATCCTCCTTAAGCACTTGCCCCTTTGCAGTTGCATTCCCCTTTGATCCTTTCACCATGATGTCCCCTTTCACAGCTTCAACTCCCACACACTTCGCATTTACTGCTTCGTCTTCAACCACGATCGCTGCTGCAAAAGTGTTGACATCGTCTCCATCTCCACCGTTTACTGCTGCTGCCTCCGTGATCACTATCTCCTCTTCCTGCTTCACTGCTGCCTCCACACTCGCTCCCGTATCATCCGTGTCCTCGCTCTTATCAACCTTAGTCAATAACTCCTCCAGTTCTCCCATCTCACCATACTCACGATCCTCATAGATCTCATCCATATCATTCGTCGCGACCAAGTTCATCTCATAGAACCCGTCACTGAAGTAACCATCAGCATACTTCTCCCACTCAGGACCAAACACAATCACCTCACCACTGTCATAGAATATCTTGCACCCCAAGTCATCAAGCTGTGACTGATTGACCTGGTTCACCTTTAAATCCTCAACCAGCAGCACATTCTCCAGTCTCATCTCTCCATACGGACTCTTCAGCACCACATCACCCTCTCTTATCACTGGTAACTTCCCACTGTTACCTTGTAGTATATAATCCTCACTCGACTCCCTCACATTCTCCATCCAATCTGACCTGAATGCCATGTGACGCGTGCATCCGCTGTCCATGAACCACGCCCTCTTCTCACGTCCATCTGTCTGAGCCTCCTTCGGTAAACGCACCACGTTCGCGAGATGCGCTCCTCCCAAAATCACATCCTCCTTTTCAGCTTCCACTACATTCGCCTTTGTCGCCACATTCCTCTGCTGCGACGGACCCTTGTAGCTCATGCTATTCGGGTTGGAGTAGCACTCTGCGGCACGATGCCCGTAGCGCCCACAATGATCACACTTGCCGCCAAAACCTCGTTTCTGCTGCCACTCCGCTCCTGCATTTTCTCCTTTCTCGTTCTCCATCGCTTTGCCCTTATAGTTTCTGCTTCGCGGGTTCTCATAGCAATTTATCGCCTTATGCCCGCGCTTTCCACACTGGTAGCATGCTCCAAACGCCTTCGTGGCATTCACCAAAGCGGGCCTCTCCTCATCAAACTCCTTAGCTACTGCTGCTGCTTTCTTCTTTCTCATCTCGTTAACCGTCTCAAGCGACTGTAGAATCTCCTGCAGCTTCATCAAACTCTCCGGCGGTTGGTACGTAAACATACCGATGTCGGATTCCCACTCCTTAGGAAGGCCTTGGATGATATAGTCAATCATCTCATGCTCCGTCTCCGCGGCTCCCATCACCCGCAAATCGTCGTTGTAGCTTTTCGCCCTGTTGATGTAGGTGATGATTTTCTCACCTTTCTCCATGCTCAGCATCAGCAGTTGCTTCCTAATCGCCTTCTTGTTGACATCGTTCGTACCCATGTATGTGGACCCCAGGTACTCCCACGCTCGCTGTGCAGGGTTTAGCTCCCCTGCAAACTGGTCCAAATCCACCGCGATTCCATCGGCAACTGAATGACAAAGCTGAAAGAACGCTTGCTTACTTTGCTTTTTGAACGCCGCTATTTTCCCCTTCGTATCCGTCGTGGAAGGCGCAACTCCCTCCATCATCTCCTCGTCGGGACGGTAGTACGGCAAGAGGTCCACCTCCTCTGCCCTTCGAATGAACTTCTTTTGCCACATGTTGTAGTTGCTTCCATTGAAGCGCTGAGCTTCACTGAGCCCGATCGTCCGTTTCGCCACCAATCGGCCACTCGCAAGGGCCTCGAGAAGAGCCTTCGGCTGCGGGTCTCCAAGACTCACACTGGAACCCGAACTCGCCTCGTCTCCCATAGCGTAGGCGTGAACGACTCCTCTTCTCCACTAATTTCACTTAGCGCACCAAGGGAATTCGCGACGATCGACGAGCCCGTTCGTCAAGCTCTGATACCAGTTCTTAGGATCGTAAGCTCCTTAGTCGGCAATAGTCTACTTGCTATTGCTTATCGTGTTCTCCACGATCTCCCGAATCCAATGATATGCGCAGCTCTGCTTGAAGTTGTCAATACACACTTCAGCAATTTTCAGAATCTCAATGTTGTCCAATGTTGTATTTCCAGAATGAGTACAAACAGTTTTATAGTCAGGCAAGACACAAAGTGCGATTCGTAACTTCACTTGTTTCCCAAGTAACCGCGTGCGCTTCATTTCACCCCGAGTCACACACGCAACCGAACCAAATTCGGTGAACACTCCTCAAGACCGAATCTGGAACCTTCTCGAACACCCCTCGAGCTCGAACCACAATTTCCCTTCGCCAACTTCAATCTCGATGCTTCTTCCACCTTCTCACACATTCCTTCTTGATTTCTCTCTCCCTTCTCACGCCGTAGGCCGATTTCCACCGTTTCACCTAGAATCATCCACGCGCTTCCATTTCGCCGTCATTCCGCCGTCGTAGAGACTTTCGCCATAGGTTCCGTGGTTGGGCGAACCAACCCTAACAAGGGGAAATGAAGGGGAGCAGTGGGGAAAGTGAGAAGGAGCAGGAGGGGAAATGAGGGGGAGCAGTGGGGGAAGTGAGAAGGAGCAGGAGGGGAAATGAGGGGGAGCAGTGGGGCAAATGAGAGGGAGAAGGGGGGGGAAATGAGGGCGAGAAGGGGGGGGGGGGTTGAGGGAGAAAAGGGGGGGGAATGAGGGGGAAGAATGGGGGGAATGAGGAGGAGAAGGCTGGGAAATGAGGGGAAGAATGGGGGGAATGAGGGGGAGAAGGGTTAGAACTGAGAGGGAGAAGGGGGGAAAGTGAGGGAGAGAAGGGGGGAAAATGAGGGAGAGAAGGGGGGAAAAATAGGGGGAGAAGGGGGGGAAATGAGGGGGAGAAGGGAGGCAAGTGGAGAGGGAGTAGGGGGGGTTGTGAGGGGGAGAAGGGGGGAGGGGGGGTAATTAGAAGAGGATGCGCTTAGCGGGAGAGGCGCTATGCGGGCGCTAAGCGGGAAAGGCGCGCAGCGGGTGCGGCGCTAAGCGGGAGAGGGTGAGGCGACACGCGGGAAAGGCGCACAGGGGGTGAGGCGCTACGCGAGAGAGGCGCGCAGCGAGTGATTCGTTGCGCGGGAGAGGCGCGCAGCGGTTGCGGAGCTAAGCGGGAGAGGCGCGCAGCGGGTCAGGCGCTAAGCGGGAAAGGCGCGCGGCTAGTGATACGTTAAGCGGCATGGCGCGCAGAGGGTGAGGCGCTAAGCGGGAGAGGCTCCCAGCATTGGAGGCGGTAAGCGGGAGACCCGCGCAATGGGTGAGGCGCTAAGCGGGAAATGCCTACCGAGCGGGTGTTGAGAGTGGCGGCGTGGCCAACGCATGGAACGATGCGATCCCGCCGCCGGCTCCGTAGTTTTCAATCGGCTTACTCGATCGCACCTACCCAGCGTGGTGATGCAACCCGTCGAGGCGCCCTTGACAGGGCTTCGACGGGGCCCATCAATGCAGCACGACGCGCTCGACGAATGCAGAGCCTTTCCCTCTCCGATTGCCGCTGAACGGCGCAGCAGTGGAAAGGAGCTGGCGGGCAAGCTAGATGTATTTTCCCACTCGCACAAGCCTATAATGTACCTAAACTCATCTCACATGAGAATATCTGAGCGGTGTCGATGCTCCGCATGTTCTTTGTCGCGCCCCGGTTCCTCTATCTATGCTTAGCGTATGTTAGTCACATATCATGGTTCCTAGTGAAATGTGACTCCAAGGTTGGGTGACGGGGGAGTTTCTTGTGTTTGGAACTCCTCAAAGCTGCAATTTTTCGCCAAACCTCTCGCCACGCTCAGTTGTTTCGTTCTGGCGAATTTTTCCCTGGCTACAGTGCAAGTCCAAACAGTACTTGCAAATGTATACGAAAGCTTTAACCCTTCAAAATCATCCCCCCTGAAAGCTCCAAGTCCCTTCTCACACGCACAGAGGTTAGCCTAGCTCCAGCCCAGCCCTCACACCCCCAAAATGGAGGTTGGCCAAGGGATAGGCTAGGGTTCCATATCAGAGGGGATACCCACCCCATACCCCACGAAAGTTTTCCCAGTAGGGCCCATGCTCCAACCTCACCCATCTCTGCCCTGAAAAAGCCCCCCTCCTCCCACAACCAAACCCCATGTGTGGGTTTTTTTTCACCCCTGATTTACCCAGGTTCATGTGGGGAGTGGTGTAGTATTTTTGGACCCTACCCACGATGATGATGGTGGAAGGAGGGGTTGCAACATCGCCGAGACGACCCCCTCCTTTCGATCTCGGGATGGGCTGTTTCCGATCTCGAGAGGGGGGGGGGTTAGCCCTTCAAAACTTTCTCCGAACCCTCCTCCAAACGCTAGCCTAACACTAGTCCTGCAAGGAGGTGGCTGCATATCGAACAGGGCCGTGGTGAATGGCAACGGGATGGCATGGGGCGGGGAGGTTGCCTAGGGACGAAATTGCTACCCCACTTCCGAGAGCCGTGATTCCGTCTCAAATGAGGTCAAACTGATGACGTTCCACAGGCCAACATGATTTCATTTGGTTCAGACGGAATCGTAAGTCCGGCACGAATTCCACGGGCAGACCATCCTGACAGACGTTAACGAACCCTAACGAACGGGATCCGGAAGGCGAGACTGATCTTCCTGATCCCGTCCATTTTGCCCATACTTGTGCTGGCAAACAGGGCCTTTAATTCGTATACGGTACTACTTTGGCTTTGTTCTGTATGCGTTAAATTCGTGGCCCAACTACACCTGGCCCGTGGTAACGGCGTGTTGCAATTGCCGGTGCATTGCATCGGCTCGGGACGATTGGAAGGCTCCAGGCAGGCAGGAGGCCAAACACGGGCACTGATTCGGGAAAGAAAAGTTTCAAGATAGTGATTCAAAAAGTTATTTACGAAGGTTATGTTAGGACATAGATTTTTTATGCGAGACTTTTGTAAAAGTTTTACAACCTCTTGCGTTCCAGGAGCCTTCCTTAACCGGTGCCACGAGCCGAGCCGATGCAGTGCACCGCGAACTGCAACACGCCGTAAATTCACCTGCGGTATCTTCACCACGTGGTCGTACTTTCCCGCAGTCAAGCTAGTTTATGAAGGTAGTTTCGGATTCTTAGGGGTAAAATCAAGCATACCCTTCACCAGATCGGGAAAGTCGTAACTTGTTAAAAAACCAATCCCGCCCTTCTCTACGATCAGTAAGTATGAGTGCGATGGACAGAAATGCATCTTTGCTGTTTACTTGTATCCCTGCAGTCTCTGGGTGACCGTCTCATTCAGGGGGCCCTGGAAGAAAAGCGTTCAAGCGGTGAATTTACCGCGGGCCAGGTGTATCAGCTCGAGTTCAAAGTACTATAGCTTGGAAGTTCAAGGGCGAGAGGTTTGTCCTCTTGTGGTTACTCAAATGTCATTTTTGTCCCCCTACTGTTCCTAAGAAGTTGCTCCCCGCCTTTAAGTTGGTCATGGCGTGGGACCGTAGAATCTTCATTGATAATTGGTTTAGTGTTTATCAAGGTTTGGTGATAAGAGAGGTACTGCCAAACCTGTTTGTGCCAAATTTAACGTTTCAGCCTACAGAACACCACTTTTGGGGCGTTCAACTTTAACCGCATGATGGTTCCATGATGCTGCATCGCCTAGCAAATGTGTGCACAACTTGTGCGCAGCAAATTGAGGACGCGGTATAAATAGACGATCGATCGTCGGTCACGAGCGGTGTGCGGATCAGCTACCCAGTTTACTAGCATGTAACAATGTTACGGTAAGGTTTTTGTCAATAGATTGTGCACAGTAAGGGAATGCGACTGATCACTGATTGCTGGAGACCAGCCTAATACAAAGTGGCGATTGTTACAATGACGTTTGCGCAGCGTTT